CCGGACCAGGTCGGATGGGAAGCTCTTTAACCTCGCCAGGCTGAGAGCCAAGACAAAGGTTCGGCTGAGGTGTCTGCGCGACTTCCTCTTTGCCGACGACGCAGCAGTCACTGCCCACTCAGCTGAAGACCTCCAACGGCTCATAACCCGCTTCAGCGAGGCCTCTCAGGCTTTCGGACTCACCATCAGTCTGAAGAAAACACAAGTCATGGGACAAGGAGTGGACTCCCCACCTGACATCGGCATCTCTGATTCCAAACTGGAAGTTGTTCACGACTTCGTGTACCTGGGCTCCACAATCTCTGACTCCCTCTCTCTTGATACGGAGCTAAACAAACGCATCGGTAAGGCATCTACTACCATGTCCAAACTGACAAAGAGAGTGTGGGCCAACAATAGGCTGACTGAGTATACTAAGATTCAGGTTTACAGATCCTGTGTCCTGAGCACTCTCCTTTATGGCAGTGAGTCTTGGACACTCCGCGCCCGTCAGGAAAGACGTCTGAATGCCTACCACATGCGCTGCCTTAGACACATCTTGGACATCACCTGGCAGGACAAGGTGACAAACAACAACGTCTTGGGGAGAGCAAGAATCACCAGCATGTACACAATGCTGAAACAGAGACGAATGCGCTGGCTCGGGCACGTTGTGCGAATGGGCGACGGCAGGATCCCCAAGGATCTCCTGTATGGAGAGCTGAGGCAGGGAAAGCGTCCAGTAGGCAAGCCCCAGCTACGGTACAAAGACGTATGCAAAAGGGACCTGGAAGCCATGGACGTCGATCTTGCTATATGGGAGACACTGGCTGCAGACCGTTCAGCCTGGAGGCAGTCTGTTCAACGAGGTCTCTCCATGTTCGAGGAGTCACTTGCCAAGGAATCGGAGGCAAAGAGACAGAGAAGGAAAGCCGGTAACCAGGAAGACAGACCAGAATCGGACTTCGTTTGTGCTCGGTGTGGGATGGACTGCCACTCTCGGATTGGCCTCATCAGTCACACCAGACGCTGCACCAGGATTGACAACTAGGGCGCAACTCCATAGTCTCCCGAGACTGAAGGATGCCTACTACTACTTTTCCTTATTCTCATAACAGATATAGACAAAAATACAAGTCACAGCTTCGTATCATCCTTTGCAGATGACACTAAAATCAGCATGAAAATTACCTCTGCTGAAGATATTGAAAAACTACAAACAGATATTAATAAAGTTTTCGGCTGGGCAGCAGAAAATAACATGATGTCTAGCAGTGATAAATTCCAGGTACTCAGATACGGTAAAAATGAGGACTTTAAACATAATACAGGGTACAAAACACAATCAGATCTCCCCATACTAGGAAAGCAACATGTAAAGGATTTGGGAATAATGATGTCTGACGATTAAACGTTTTGGGAGCATAACCAAGCAAATATTGCGTCAGCCAGTAAAATGATAGGATGGATTACGAGAACTTTCAAATCCAGGGATCCCATCACAATGGTTGTACTCTTCAAGTCACTTGTGCTGTCCCGTCTTAAGTACTGCTCAGTACTCGTTTCTCTTCAGAGCAGGAGAGTACTGCTGAAATAGAGGGAGTTCAGAGATCATATACGGTATACATAGACGCGATAAAGCACCTAAATTGTTGGGATCGTCTCAATGCACTCAAAATATACTCGCTATAAAGGAGACGAGAGAGAGATCAAATAATAAATACATGGAAAATACTGGCGGGTCAGGTCCCAAATATGCACAGTAAAATAACAACATACTGGATTTTTTTAATTTTTTAATTTTTATTATTTTCTACCACAGACATTTTCTACCACAGACATTTTCTACCACAGACATTTTCTACCACAGACATTTTCTACCACACACATTTACAATGCTAATCAGCATATGTACATTTTTTCTGTTCTCCATGCACAGGGTTAGAGATTTGTTAAACATATAGATAAGGAACAATCAACCACAGAAGGTGATTCTGTGCTTTTAAAATATTATTATATAAAAAATCTAAAATATAAAAATATGTAATGGATATTTCCTAATTGTTCTCATTTTATATTAGCATATTTGTTTTTTAGGTAAGTAAATATTTGTCTTTGCAGGGAGGAGTGCACTTTTATTGGTCAATTTTGTTGACATTTTATTAAGTTTTATTCGAGAGGAAAAGAGAGAGCGAGAGAAGGGAAGGGGCGGAGAAGAGAGAGAGAGAGAGAGAGAGAGAGAGAGAGAGAGAGAGAGAGAGAGAGAGAGAGAGAGAGAGAGAGAGAGAGAGAGAGAGAGAGAGAGAGTGGGTTATTCAGGGGAAAGCGCCAAGCATTACGACTATATAGCACTTGGAAGGGGTCAGGATAAGGATTTGGGATGGAACGGGGGGGGGGGATGAAATGGTTCCCACCTACTTGGACGGTCGGGGATTGAACGCCGACCTGCATGAAGCGAGACCGTCGCTCTACAGTCCACCCCAAGGGTTGGACCAGAGAGAGAGAGAGACAGACAGACAGACAGACAGACAGGCAGAGAGAGAGAGAGAGAGAGAGAGAGAGAGAGAGAGAGAGAGAGAGAGAGAGAGAGAGAGAGAGAGAGAGAGAGAGAGAGAGAGAGAGACAGACAGAGACAGAGAGAGGAAATGCCAGAGCCCCTGGGATGTGATGATGAATATGAGTACCCGCAAGCTGCTGCCACCAAGTCTTCCCGATCAGGTTATCACCAGAAAAAAACCTGGTCTCGAACCGGGAGATGATAAAGAACTCTGGAAACCCGCTACAGGTAAGCGTTAAGAACGAATGATACAGACTAGTAAAGCCAAGTCTTCTTCTAACCGAACCTAACACCTCCAGTTTGGTATACATATATATATATATATATATATATATATATATATATATATATATATATATATATATATATATATATATATATATATATATATATATATTAGTAATATAAATTAATGACACATTTCCACGAAGCAAAAGTATCAATTAAATGAAAATGTCAACATTACTGTAGCTATTTAAATTCTGTTATTATAAACACTCTACAAATAATAATGGAATTATACCAATACAGGTAATGATAATAAGGAAAAAATATGTATTCTACACTCATTTTCCTGCTAGTTGAATTGCTCACATTGTGGGAGTTGTTGTGTTGTCTGATATCTTACTTTAGTTGTATCGTGTGATATCTTACTTTAGTTAGTGTTGTGTGTTATCTTACTTTAGTTTTGTTGTGTGTTATCTTACTTTAGTTGTGTTGTGTGATATCTATAGTGTTGTACGTTATCTTACTTTAGTAGTGTTGTGTGTTATCTTACTTTAGTTGTGTTGTGTGATATCTATAGTGTTGTACGTTATCTTACTTTAGTAGTGTTGTGTGTTATCTTATTTTAGTTGTGTGATATCTTTCTTTAATTGTGTTGTATGATATCTTACTTTAGTTGTGTAGTGGGATATCTTACTCTAGTTGTGTGTGTTGTCTTTAATTGTGTTGTGTGTTATCTTATTTTAGTTGTGTTGTGCGATATTTACTTTGTGTATAAGCATGATATTTTACTTCGGTTGTGTGATATCTTTGGTTGTGTGATATCTTCGGTTGAAAGTGTGATATCTTCGGTTGTAAGTGTGATATCTTCGGTTGTGTGATATCTTCGGTTGTAAGTGTGATATTTTACTTTGGTTGTTTTGTAAGTGTGATATTTTACTTTGGTTGTGTTGTTCGATATCTTACTTTGGTTGTGTTGTGTGATATCTTACTTTACTTTTCTTGTGTGTTATTTTACTTTGGTTGTGTTGTGTAATATCTTACTTTGTGTTGTGTGATAGCTTACTTTGGCTATGTTGTGTGATATCTTACTTTCGTTGCGTTGTTTGATATCTTATTCTGGTTGACAGAATCCCGATCATTACCAGACATAGCCACAAAGGTCAACCACCATAACAATATAACTCATTCAGTGTTGTTTGATAAGATTATAATAATATTGGTGTCTAAACATTACGTTATTCTGAGATTATCTTAATCTTCAACACTGCCCATCATCTATAATTATATTATTATTATTATTATTATTATTATTATTATTATTATTATTATTATTATTATTATTATAATTATTATTATTATTATTATTATACGAGCTTTAAGTACAAGTCGCAAGAGGACGCGAGTTGAGAAGTTCGTCCAAGAACGAATTTTTTTACTTGTAATTGATTCAGCTGCGTCTGTTATATAAATAACAATAACAATTTCACGCTGTATTCCTCTTAACTACGGACAATGATGATACTACCATTAACAAGCCTTACGGAGCTCCGTTATTCGGGTTGAAGGAACTACGGGCTCACCATAGCCCGTGCTACTTGAAACTTTTTGTTCCAAGTAGCAGATCTTAAACAACACCATTCGGGTTGAAAATTCAAGAAAACTCGCCATCAAAACCGGGAAATATTCAATTGACTTTTGCCCAACTTCACATATATGTGACAGCATTTTAAGGAGCGCCATGTCGATCTCTCGATGAAATCTTATTTCAAAATGGTGTCACGTGACTTACAAATGTCCATAATCTGCTTAATTAATTAGTACTTAAGCTCTGAGGGCAACAAGTCACGTGATGTAACTTTTACACTCGTAAACACTCCAATAAGGTATTTTTGCTCTTTGAATGTGGGTTACATTTCGCGCTGGAATATTTACGACTTGGTAACTCTTCCGTTGCCAGAATGTAAATATTGGATTAATTATTCACGCTCTGATTAATTGTTTGGTGTCCAACCGCCCATTAACATTTCATCGTTCGAAGCTTTGTTTTTTCTCCATCGTGTCCTGATTTTACGCGACAATGGAAGGGCAATATTAAAAGATATTGAATTAGCTTTCAGAGCCACAGAGGTGAATGTACACTTTTAACAACATACCTATGATATAGTCAATCAATTTTACTCTCGTAATTGTGTTGGTGAAAGTTGAGCTTCAGCTCTTTGACCCCCCCCCTTCTCACCCTTCAATCGACAGGTGAGCAGGTTTCTAAGTGCATCTAGTCCTAAGCTGTCGGATATACACTTGAAGCTGTGTATGAAAGCTGCCTCCACCACTTCACTTCTTAATGTGTTCATTGTTATATGTATTGTATTTATAATATATTCAGATAATGCGTTTTAATCCAAGGCGTGAACATTGTCATAAGTGCACCGTGGTGGTGTTGTGCTTCAACACTTGACGTAAATAATTACGATGACTTCACACTCCCATTAATGATTAGCGTACAGTTCTTCTTAATGGGAGTCGTCGTTGTGTGTGCGTGGTGTGAACAGTTATGTTGGGTGATAATGTTTTGTTCAGGCATGTTGACTGTCAGTATCATGCTGCTGTCACTTTCACTCGTGTAGGTAACTACCTTTATCCCTTATGTAACTACTTTCCTCCTGTTGTTGTTGTTGTTAAAGATTCGATACCTGGAACAAAAAGTTCCAAGTATCACGGGCTATGGTGAGCCCGCAGAAACCTTCCTTCGTTATATTACCTTCCATGCAAGCCAACACACAAACACACACACACACACACACACACGCACACGCACACACACACACACAGCCTTTAGAAACTTGTGTAAGGAATCTTTCAGAACATTATATACCACATATGTCAGACCAATCCTGGAGTATGCGGCTCCAGCATGGAGTCCATATCTAGTCAAGCATAAGACTAAACTGGAAAAGGTTCAAAGGTTTGCCACCAGACTAGTACCCGAGCTGAGAGGTATGAGCTACGAGGAGAGACTACGGAATTGAACCTCACTTCGTTGGAAGACAGAAGAGTTAGGGGGGACATGATCACCACATTCAAGATTCTCAAGGGAATCGACAGGGTTGATAAAGATAGGCTATTTAACACAAGGGGCACACGCACTAGGGGACACAGGTGGAAACTGAGTGCCCAAATGAGCCACAGAGATATTAGAAAGAACTTTTTTAGTGTCAGAGTGGTTGACAAATGGAATGCATTAGGAAGCAATGTGGTGGAGGCTGACTCCATACACAGTTTCAAGTGTAGATATGATAGAGCCCAATAGGCTCAGGAACCTGTACACCTGTTGATTGACGGTTGAGAGGCGGGACCAAAGAGCCAGAGCTCAACCCCCGCAAGCACAACTAGGTGAGTACAACTAGGTGAGTACACACACACACACACACACACACACACACACACACACACACACACACACACACACACACACACACACACACACAAACACACACACACAGACAGAAAATTCACCAGTATGCCACCAGACTTGTCCCGGAACTGAGAGGTATGAGCTACGAGGAAAGGCGGAAGAAGCTGAACCTGACGTCCCTGGAAAACAGAAGAGTAAAGGGAGACATGATAACCACCTACAAAATTCCCAGGGGAATTGACAGGGTGGACAAAGACAAACTCTTCAGCACGGGTGGGGACACGAACAAGGGGACACAGGTGGAAACTAGTACCCAAATGTGTCACAGAGACGTTAGAAAGAATTTGTTCAGTGTCAGAGTAGTTAGTAAATGGAAGCATTAGGCAGTGATGTGGTGGAGGCTGACTCCATATACACAGTTTTAAATGTAGATATGATAGAGCCCAGTAGGCTCAGGAACGTGTACATCTTTTCTCAATCTCTGGCGGCTTTGTTTACATTTATTAAACAGTTTACAAGCATGAAAACTTCCCAGTCAACTGTTGTTATTGTAATAAACAGCCTCCTGGTGCTTCGGAGCTCATTAACTGTCTAATAATTGTAAAGAAAGCAGCCAAAGATTGAGAAAAGATGTACACGTTCGTAAGTACTTACGTAACTGCTTCGTGAATCTGCCCCCTGAACACCAGTTGATTGACAGTTGAAAGGCGGGACCATAGAGCCAAAGCTCAACCCCCGCCAGCACCAATAGGTGAGTACACTCACACACGAGAGCAGACTTTCATCTCTGCCAGACACCCAAGCGGTGGTAGATTGCTGTGGCCTTTTAAACTACGTTATTAGCAAGCCATTTTTCCCAGGGGGCGTGACGAGTCAATATTTCAAGTGCGATTTATTGTTGGTCTCTCGCAACTTATTTTGAGAGAGAGAGAGAGAGAGAGAGAGAGAGAGAGAGAGAGAGAGAGAGAGAGAGAGAGAGAGAGAGAGAGAGAGAGAGAGAGAGAGAGAGAGAGAGAGTATGTGTGTGTGTGCGTGTGCGTGTGCGTGCATGTGCGTGTGCGTGTGCGTGTGCGTGTGTATACGTACTCACGGAAGAGCACCAATTCAGACCTTCTGTTTTGATAGTACTTACAGTAACATCGTGCATATATAGACATAATGGACATTACGTAGTAGAAGAAAGTAGAATTTGGTACTACTGTAGTTGGACACACCGGAAAAGGTTTCGTATTTATGTTGCTAATAAAATCTAACCGTCCTGGACCTAATATACGCGGTCTGAGGCCTAAATATAGCAAATATATATGCTATTAGGCCTAAGAATATTAAGGTTTGGTTTTCAGCTTTATTTTCACCGGACACTATAAAGTGAATAGTACGAAATTCTACTATCCAACTGCTCATTACGTCAATATGTGTACGATGGTTCACATAGTTACAAAAAGTACTGTCTAAACAGGATGATGAGTTGCGCACGCAAACAAACACACACACACACACACACACACACACACACACACACACACACACACACACACACACACACACACACACACGCCCGTACCTTGTCAAGCACAAGACGAAGCTGGAAAAAGTTCAGAGGTATGCCACTAGACTAGTCCCAGAACTAAGAGGCATGAGTTACGAGGAAAGGCTGCGAGAAATGCACCTTACGACACTGGAAGACAGAAGAGTAAGGGGGAGACATGATCACTACCTACAAAATCCTCAGGGGAATCGACCAGGTAAACAAGGATAAACTATTCAACACTGGTGGTACGCGAACAAGGGGACACAGGTGGAAACTGAGTACCCACATGAGCCACAGGGACGTTAGAAGGAACTTTTTCAGCGTCAGAGTAGTTAACGGATGTATTGCACTAGGAAGTGATGTGGTGGAGGCTGACTCCATACACAGTTTCAAGTGTAGATATGATAGAGCCCAATAGGCTCAGGAACCTGTACACCAGTTGATTGACGGTTGAGAGGCGGGACCAAAGAGCCAAAGCTCAACCCCCGCAAGCACAAATAGGCGAGTACAAATATGTGAGTGCACACTCACGTGAGAGAAACTCCTCTTTCTCTTGGAAAAAATAGCGTGAAAAAGCTAGTAACACATCTGGAGAGAAGGGACTTCGTGACAACCCATCAACATGGGTTCAGGGAGGGTAAATCTTGTCTTACAGGCTTGATAGAATTCTACGATCGGGTTACAAAGATTAAGCAGGAAAGAGAAGGATGGGCAGACTGCATTTTCTTGAACACCTTTGACACAGTATCCCATACGAGGCAGGTGCATAAGCTGGAGAAACAGGCAGTAGTAACTGGTAAGGTGCTCCAGTGGATAAGGGAGTACCTAAGCAATAGGAAGCAAAGAGTTACAGTGAGGGGTGAGACTTCAGAAAGGCGTAAAGTCACCAATGGAGTCCCACAGGGCTCTGTATTTGGATCTATCCTGTTTCTGATATACATAAATTATTCTCAGTGGATATAGACTCATTCCTCGGACGTTGTTTGCTGACGACGCTAAAATTATGAATAGGATTAAGACAGAGGAGGACAGCTTGATGCATCAAGAAGACCTGGACAAATTGAAGGAATGGTCCAACAAATGGGTGTTAGAGTTTAACCCAAACAAATGTAATAAAGATAGGTGTAGGAAGCAGGAGGCCAGATGCAAGGTATCATTTGGGAGATGAAATTCTTCAAGAATCAGAGAGAGAGAGAGAGAGAGAGAGAGAGAGAGAGAGAGAGAGAGAGAGAGAGAGAGAGAGAGAGAGAGAGAGAGAGAGAGAGAGAGAGAGAGAGAGAGAGAGAGAGAGAGAGAGAGAGAGAGAGAGAGAGAGAGAGAGAGAAGAGAGAAGATCTGGGGAGGGGGGGGGGGTTGATATCACGCCAGACCTGTCTCCTGAAGCCCATATCAAGAGGATAACATCGGCGTCATATGCCAGGTTGGCCAACATAAGAACGTCTTTAAAATCGTGTGTAAGGAATCATTCAGAACTTTGTGTACCACATATGTCAGACCAATCTTGGAGTATGTAGCTCCAGCATGGAGTCCATATCTAGTCAAGCATAAGACTAAACTAGAAAAAGGTTCAAAGGTTTGCCACCAGACTAGTACCCGAACTGAGGGGAATGAGCTACGAGGAGAGACTACGGGAATTAAACCTCATATCGCAGGAAGATAGAAAGAGTTAGAGGGGACATGAGCCACACATACAAGATTCTCAAAGGAATTGACAGGGTAGATAAAGACAGGCTATTTAACTCAAGGGGCACACTCACTAGGGAACATAGGTGGAAATTGAGTACCCAAATGAGCCATGCAGACATTATAATTTGTTTAGTGTCAGCGTAGTAGACAAATGGAATGCTTTAGGAAGTGATATGGGGGATGCAGACACCATACATAGTTTCAAGTGTAGATATGATAGAACCCAATAGGCTCAGGAACCTGTACATCAATTGATTGACAGTTGAGAGGCGAAACCAAAGAGCCAGAGCTCAACCACCGCAAGCACAACTAGGTAAGTACAACTAGGTGAGTTCACACATACACATTTATGTTATATGTATGTCATATGACAAAGAGTGCTGGGAGACGGGACACCACGAGCGTAGCTCTCATCCTGTAACTACACTTAGGTAACTACGTAGGTAATTACTAGATACTATTATAGACTGTGGGTTGGTTGTTGTTGTCGTCGTTGATCCTTCTCTATGGACAACCCAACCCACAACTCGGTAGAGTGCTTATACTAGGAGATCACCCTTGGCACTTCTGGCTCTTGGAGAGCGGCTCAACGTCACACGTTTAGGGGATGCGGCTCCAACGCTTAGCCTCGTTGTCACGTGCACACACCCACTCGAGCCGCTGTGACTCCCCACTCTCTCCTTATCAGATGTGATCTCCTCAATCCCCTATGACTTACTAGT